ATCTAAATCTCTGTGAAAAGAAATATTTACTGCTCTATTCTCTCTTCTTTATTTATAGCAACATTATATACAATTACGGTAGTACAGCCCATTAAAGGCAACAAGAATAATTCCAATATCAAGCATGCCAAGTCCTAAATTTAAAGTAGTGTGCAATATACCTACATTATAACAACAGTTGAAAGGTCATAACAGGCAGTAATGAATCTGGAGAACAGTACCATAGGCAAAGGAGCTGCCATCAGGTGGGTCTCTATTCTGACAGTCTGGATATGTAGAGGAATTATTACCTGTACATGATCCCTTATTCTTGAGCATGAACTGAGTCTGTCTGAATCAAGAAAAAAACTCTAAAAAACCAGCTAGAAATGTCCTGTGTATGCTCTCTATTAGTCTTGGGGATACAACAAGGTGGATGGGCAAAGACGCAGAAGGGTTCACACAATTTCCCAGAAATCCTTAAAGTGTAGCTCCACTTAAAAGGGGAAGTTCCACTTTAAGCCTTTGTCCCCATTAAGGATTGGCACCATTGGGGAGCGGGGGGTACCTGAATTTCCCCGTAGTCCTCTGGAACACGTGACAGGTCCCAGAAGACTATGGGGCCATTCACAAAGTGCAGCATTTCTTGCGCATGCGCAGTAGGCACCCGCAAGCTGTCACAGCCGGGTGCCCACACTGAAGATGTCAGTGCCAGGGAGAGAAGATGGCTGGTGAAACCAGCGCTGGTGAGGACACCTCTGAACCGAGGGACAGGTAAATGGCTGTATTTTAAAAGTCAGCAGCTACAGTATTTGTAGCTACTGACTTATTTTTATTTTTTTCAGGTGGAACTCCGCTTTAAGTTAACCTACCCAAGAAAAGTAAATCAACAGGTTCACTTGACAACCACAATACACATATAAATGTTGTAGTTTACCGGAGTTATGGTTGAAGATATCTGATGAAGTGGTCTGAGCAGGTAATTAGCCACTGAAACACTTTCAGTAGTGGCGGGAGGGAGCACCCCCCCCTTCAGTCGCTCGCCGGTGTTTCTCGAGCTTACCGGTAAAACTGGCGCACCCAAGAAATGATCTGACATTGTGGCCAGCTTCTCCCAGAGGTGCTGAGATTCTCTATAGTCTCCAATTGTCTCTATGATATTGGAGGACCAGAGCGACATCATGACGTCACTTCTGGTCCGGGGGCGGATGTAAATTATTTTTTTCTTTTTTAGAACAAAAAAAATAAATCTTTTGCTTTTAAAGGCAAAGGAGAGATTTGGGGTCTTTTTGAACCCAGATCTTTCCTTAAAGAGGACCTGTCATGCTTATTTCTATTAAAAGGGATGTTTATATTCCTTGTAATAGGAATAAGAGTGTTACAAAAAAAAAAAAAAAAAAAGGAACAGTGTAAAAATGAAAGAAAAAAAATTAAAGCACCCCATCCCTCTTTGCTTGCGCATAGAGTTGCGCACGCAGATGTAAATCAGTGTTTGCAGCACACATGTGAGGCATCGCTGTGAAATTTAGAGCGAAACCAATAATTCTAGTACCAGACATCCTCTGTAACTCTGAACAGGTAACTGGAAAAGTTTTTAAAGCATCGCCTATGGAGATTTTTAACTACCGCAGTTTGTCACCATTCCACGAGCATGCACAATTTTAAAGAGTGACATGTTAGGTATCCATTTACTCGATGTAACTTCCTCTTTCATATTTTACAAAAAAATTGGGGTATATATTGCATTTTTTTTTTAAAAATTCATTAAAGTGTATTTTTTCCCAAACATTTGCATCTGAAAAACCACTGCACAAATACCATGAGACATAAAATAATACAACGATCACCATGTCATTCTCTAGGGCATGGGTGTCAAACCGGCGGTCCTCCAACTGTTGTGGAACTACAAGTCCCATGAAGCATTGCAAGGCTGACAGTTACAAGCATGACTCCCACAGGCAGAGGCATGATGGAATTTGTAGTTCCACAACACCAGAGGACCTCCAGTTTGACACCCCTTCTCTAGGGTCTTTGCGGAAAAAAAAATTATATAATGTTTGGAGGTTATAAATAATTTTCTAGCAAAAAATACAGATTTAAACTTGTAAACAAAACATGCCAGAAAATGCTTTGTCTTTGCTTGCCGCTGTGGCTTGCACTTCCCTTGACTCTTCCACTTCTCTTTCCTTGCCTCCCTGATATGACATACCAGGGTACTTTGTATTGGAGAGCTTGTAACTCACTGGTGCACATGACAGAGCTGGTGTTCAGCTCCTGGCCACTCAGGCACCTGCCACTGTCACATGGGGCGAGGAGGAGAAACTCCTAAGCTCAGTGTAAGTTTTATTTTAGGACACGGGGCTCTTTCTCCTCCCTGGAAATGGGAGATTCGGGTCTTTTTTCTTTGCAAAAAAAATGACCCATGTATGATTAGCTTCAGGCTAGGTTCACAGTTTTGTGGGTGCAGCTAGGTTCACACTAATGTGGCTCTGTGAGCAGTGTTTGTGTGGGCACAGCAGCCCACTCATTTGGCTGGGACCCATAAAGCACTATGCAGTATTCCTGCAGCTGCAACTATGGAGAAGGTGCAGATACATTTTCTCTGTTCAAATGAATGGGCTGCTGTGACCTTGCCAATGTGGCCACTGGGAAAATACAACAGTGTTATTTTCAAGTACAGTGTGAACCAGGGCTAAACCCATGATTTGTGTGTGCTTCCTGCACTGCATTCAAATTGTACTTGCGGTCTGCAGCAGGTCTCAGAACAATGTTAACAACACCCTAAACACAGGCTGTAAAGGCTGTATGCTTGCCTGGAATGCAAAAACTGGCAACCATCCCAACCTATAACCAACTTTAGTAGTAAGGTGCACATGGAAGGGCAACGCACATTGCAAACAAAGTAATTCCCAGCACCACTTACCAGCCAGCTTGCAAAACAACCAATTTGGCCCTGTCTAACAGTTTGTGTTAAAAACAAAGGGTTTTATGTGCCGTAAGCCACAGCCCCACATCAAGGGTCCTCTGTAGACCTTATATTACCAAAGCCTCCATAGTAGGAGTACTTATATCAATGGATAAATTAAGGGCAGGTGTGCCTGGAGGAGTCCATCCCTCCTTAAAGGTACAGGAACGCATGTGACACCCAGCTATACCAAATGACAGCAAAGGCATCCAGTGAGTCCCTGCATCCAAATTAGCCAACTACACAAAGAAATGGCAACCATCCAGGGGCGGACTGACCATTTGGAAACTCGGGCACTTCCCGAGGGCCCAGGGTCAGTAAGGGGCCCCATGAGATGCCCCTGGTACCTTTCATAGGCTTTTTTGGGTGTGGTTTGAGTGTGGGCAAGGACACAGGGGCCCCATGATCCCCTATTGCCCAGGGGCCCCATAAGTTGTCAGTCTACCCCTGCAACCATCCCAACCTATAACCAGCCTTAGCAGTAAAATGCACATGGAAGGGCAATGCACATCACAAACAAACAAAGGATTTCCCAGCACCACTTACCAGCCAGCCTGTAATACAACCAATTTGGTCTTGTCTAATAGTTTGTGTTAAAAACAAAGGGTTTTGTTTGCAGAATATGCCTGGACCTGAATGATAATACAAAATGGCAATCTGGTTGTAGTGTGTTTCCAAAATTGGTGCATGCATGCGATCTTAAAAGAAGCACATTGAATTGTATAGGAATGCAGTGCGTTTTCTGAGTGATTCATAGTGTGAACTGAGGCTTAGTTTACACTAGAATGTGGTGCTAGAGAGCTGCGTTCCCGTGTGGCTTCCCGCACTGCATTCCAAATCCAATGACCTTGCAATCTGCTGCGGGGTCAGTTAAAGTTATCAACACCCACAAATGCATTGCATTTGCCTGCACCGGCCTGCACCAAATCACATGGTACAAAGTACCATGCACTGAGGGTTGCATTCAGGTCCAGGCATATTATGCAAACAAAACCCTCTGTTTTTAACACAAACTGTTAGACAGGACCAAGTTGGTTGTTTTGCAAGCTGGCTGGTAAGTGTTGCTGGGAAATCCTTTGTTTGCAATGTGCATTGCCCTTCCATGTGTGTTTAAAAGAAGTAGGGCATGCACTTCTTTTAGCATGGTGCGGTGCAATTTATTTAAGGTACTCCTATAGTGCTGTCAATTTATACAGCGCTTTGCATACATATCTTCACATCAGTCCCTAACCCCCGAGGGGTGTACAATCTAAGGTCCCTAACTCACAATCATACATACACATACTAGGGCCAATTTGGACAGGAGCCAATTAACGCACCAACATGTCTTTGGAATGTGGGAGGAAACCCACACAGGCACAGGGAGAGCATGCAAGCTCCAGGCAGGTGGTGCTGTGGTTTGTATTTGAACCAACAACACTGATGCTGCCAGGCGGAGGTGATAACCATTTAGCCACTGTGCCGCCACATTTCATCCCTTGAAATTGCACTGCATAGACGCGCATATAAATCGCATTGCGTTCCTGTGCGATTCAGATCAGGGCATACTGATGGAAATGGTACGATCACACTGTAAAGTATACAGCCATCCTGACGTTTTTATATTCAAGAGTTTGGATAAAGCACACTCTAATGGTATTATTAGCCGGCTTTTAATGGGAGTCCTGATGAACATGCTGAAGGGTATTAGGAAGACACCATTATTCCAAGCCACACATTCTCCTGTCCACACTAACAAGCCATTGATGAATGGAAGGAGCAGTCAGCCGAGGACAAGGATATTACTGATCTTCCCAGCAGGGCACCACACTCATTAGACAAAGCAATATATTGTGATATCATGCCTGCCATTAATCTGGGCACAAAGCACTGCCTCCCTCCCTCATCTGACAAGCTCTCCCATCATTAGCTCCAGCACATTGATTAAGACTGGGAGTAAGAGAGCAATCGCCTGCAGGAAGTAGATACTGTACAGGAGCGCAGGGCCTTCTGGGAGATGTAGTCCTGGAGCTGGGCTCCAGCCAGGGGGAGGCGGTAGAGAGGACTTCATTTCCCAGCAGCAGTGCGGAGCGTCCCTGTGCCTGCACGGAGCTCTGCTCACATCTCAATCCATTGTACTGTGTTGTTGGTGCTTTTCACATTCCGCTGGACGGCGAAGTGTAAAGTGCGGAGTATGGGGGACGAGCAGGAGATCATGTGTAAGCTGGAGAGCATCAAGGAGATCAGGTAGTGTGTGTGTGGCCGATCGGCGCTGTGTTCTCTTCTCTTCTTCATGGAGACTATTGTGATTTTAGGAGGAATCCAGCTGGAGGCGATCACATTGCTAATCGGAGGCGATCAATGATCGTTAGGTGGAAGTGATTGGAAATCGGGGAGCTGCAGAGCCGGTGTGTGGATGGGGTGCCGTGTAATAATAGACCTGGACGGGAGCGATCCCCTTCTGTGATGGTCGCTTGTCAGTATGGATCACTTGTAGATCTGCGGAATCCTCTCCCTGTCCTCTGCTTTGTATGGAGATGCTCAGTCGTCGTACACACATGACAGATCGGATGCTGCTAACAATGACATGGACGGTGGAGTGAGTGTCCGGGGTGGACAGCCTCCAACTCCATTCATTTCCATGGATGTTGGACACAAAGCCATCTGATTTCCTGCTGGCCTCCAACATACCTGGAGAAGACCGATTGGGGGAGATTTAGTGGAGCCCCCAGAATCTGGAGCAGCTGTGCCGGGCAGCCAATCAGCTTCTAACTTCAGTTTGTTCTATTAAGCTTTGACAATAAAAGCTGGAAGTTGATTGGTTGCTATGCACAGCTGCATCAGTTTTAGTAAATCTCCCCCATTGGGTCCCTTTGTAACATGGAAGTGTACAATCCAAATGCACACGTTCCTGCGTTAAATATAAGTGGGTGCTACAGCGACCGTCGGCTGGAACCAAACAGAATCAGCTGGGAGAATGTCACCAGCACACCGAGGATCAACAATATGCATCCACAAGGTTTAATAAATAATCGCATAGTTACAGCAAGGCAACATTTCAGAGTCACGCAGGACCCCTTCATCAGGTATGTGTTGTCACACGCCTGATGAAGGGGTCCTGAGTGACTCCGAAACATTGCCTTGCTGTAACTATGTGATTGTTTATTAAACCTTGTGGACGCATATTGGTGATCCTCAGAGTCATGCAGGACCCCTTCATCAGGCGTGTGACGTCACATACCTGATGAAGGGGTCCTGCGTGACTCCGAAACATTGCCTTGCTGTAACTATGTGATCGTTTATTAAACCTTGTGGACGCATATTGGTGATCCTCGGAGTCACGCAGGACCCCTTCATCAGGCGTGTAACGTCACATACCTGATGAAGGGGTCCTGCGAGACTCTGAAACCTTGCCTTGCTGTAACTATGTGATAGTTTATTAAACCTTGTGGACGCATATTGGTGATCCTCGGTGTGCTGGTGACATTCTCATTTTGTAACATGGATCTGATAGATGCAACACTGATTGTTAGGCTGGGCTCACACCTGAGCGTATCAGAAACTGGCGGGTTTTATTTTTTTTTTTTTTGCACGCTTTGAATAAGGTTGCAACCTCATCCCTTTAAAACCAAACACATATTAATGACACAGGTTCTGTGGCTGATTAAGGTGGTCATTAATATCACCTAGTGCCTTATCTGCAATAAATTAGCCCCAGAACCTGTGTAATTAATGTGTTTGGCTTTAAAGGGATAAGGTGGCAGCCCTAGCTTTGAAGCATTTCCGCACGTGGCGCCCATTCAGTTGAATGGGCTGCCCTACACATGACCAACATCCCAAGCAACTTCCAACAACATTTTGGACTGACACATGAATTGTTTTTTTTCACCGAGCGTTTTGCAACCTTTGTAGCATGTTTGCCAGGCAGCAGAAGAGCTCCCCGCTACCTGCACTTGGGGTACCATTAATGGCATCGCAGAGCAATAGAATGTCACCAACGGCCCACCGATCTCCAAAATGGGTCCAAAGCTTTAATCACATCGTTACAGTAGAAGCAAAGTTTCGGAGCCTCACAGGACTCCATCATCAGCCATTTTGGAAATCCATGGTGTGTTAGTGACCTTCTTTCATTCTGATTGTCTTCGGTTCCACGCCCATAGTCACTGTAGTCCCCATTTACATATGACACACATTTCCAAAGTGTGTTTTCTGTGCATTTTGAAATTCCAAGTGTGAATGGAGCCTAAAGGATCTGTCTGTAACAATGGCAATCCTTCATTCACATTAGGAAATTTGGAATTGTAGAAGAATGCCTGGTTTGCAAATCACAGCAAAATGAGTGATGTGCATTTGGGTGCCATTATTCATTATGGCACCTCAAACGTGGTGCAATTCTGCCGCAATTGTCGTGCAGCAATCACAGGCAAAATGCGTGTTTTAAAAATCATACTAAGCTTCTTGCCTAAAAAGGAGCAGGATCTTCTTTTCGGCGACAAACACGTCTAGGGCAGCATGTTGAAGTGAATGGGCTGTCCTATGCTTGGCACATGGAAGCTTGTGTAAAAAGCACTTCACTTTCAAAATCGCAAGTGGGAATGCTAGTTCCCACAATGCAATATCTGAACAGGGCCATGACACTAAGGCTAGGTTCACACCTATGCAGGTTGCATTTGAGCCGTTTCTGCATTGCGTTTTGAATTGCATTTTGCATTTTTTTGCACTTACGTTTTTGCTGCGTTTTACAGGGTTTTTTTTTTTTTTTTTTTTTTCCATTTTTCTTGTTGCTAGGTAGATTTAAGACGCAAAATGCATCAAAAACACGGCAAAAATGCAATACATGCTTTTCTGCAGCACTTCCATTGAAGTCTATAGAACCAACTTTTTGCTTTAAAAAAAAAAAAAAGCACTAGACCTTTTTCTGGCTTTATGACCCATTTAAAATGGGCTGCACCAGGTGGATCTTCATGGTGGTGCTATGACTCCACTAATATTCAAAAAAGAATTACCTCCAGTCTGTATATAATAAAACTGACATTAAGACCCATTTTAAGCTGGCGTACAGAGACAGGCAGAGTTTCTGTCTCTGTACATTGTGTGGCAGAGCAGCATATCTTCCACCGCTACCATTGCCTCTCCCCACCTGTACCTGATTGTCAAGAATATTGTCGGCCCCTCATACCCTGCAGACTGTCTGCTCCCCTTGTAATTGACAGCAGACTGTGGATGGATTCTAAGCACACCCTCCTGCTTGCATGCCTGAGCTAAAGGCAGATGGATTCCAGGAGGTAAATGCTACATGAATCATCTGCCTTTACTCAGGTTGGCCAGGGCTAGAAATGCTAGGAGGTGTTTTTCAAAATGATTCATCAGCAAAATAAAGCATGGAGACATGGATGGATGGGCAAGTTTGAATATTTCTGCCTTGCGTTTTGAGTTTCATTTTACTTTTTTGTGCACTTATGTTTTTACTGTGTTAGATGGGTTTTTTTTTTTCATTTTTTTTCCATTTTTCTTGTTGCAAGGTAGATGTAAAACACAAAATGCATCAAAAACATGGCAGAAATGCAATACATGCTTTTCTGCAGCGTTTCCATTGAAGTCTATAGAACCAAAAACGCAACTTTTTGAGTTAAAAAAAAGTCCCTGACCCTTTCCAAAAAATGCACCGGGTGAAAAAGCACAGATGTGAACATGTCCTATAAGAAATCATGTTAAATGGACTGTACTGCGCTTCTGCACATTGTGGTTAAGATTGCCATACATTACTCTTAGTCAGCCAGCTGAACAAAAAAAAAAAACTGAGAGGATTTCTCCATCTACACATTCGAGGTAAATGGGGAAATCCTACCCACTGTGTCATTATATTCTGTCAGTGGAACTCCTCCGCCATCAGAATACTGATCAGCGCTGTAACCCATTGGTTGCATGCATTGATTGAGTGGAGATTTTCAAACAAGCTCATTCATGAAAAAATTGATCAGTTGATTGACTTCTCATGAATGGGAACTGCCATAAATGGATCAAACCAGCCAAATTTCAATCCATGTACGGCCAGCTTAAGGACCAATTCACAACTGAGCGTAACAAAAATGGCTGCAGAATCGGTAAAAAAAACGCAAGTTTTGGGTGGCATTCATTCTAATGGCACCCCAAACGCACCAATAAAGGGTGTTTTGTCACACAGCGCAAAAATGCGCTGTCAAGAAAATGCGCTAAAGTCATCTCCACAAAAAAGGTACGGGAGCTACTTTGGTGTATTTTTGGAGCATATCTTGAATGGGCTGCCCTACATATCTCACCAAAAGAACACAAAAAACACAATGCTCCCGCATCACCCAAGTGGGATTGCAGCCTAAGCGATATCTTGTAATCCATTTTTCATGAAATAATTTCGTAGGCTGAGTTCACACCGGTGTGCTGCGGTTTGGGCGCAGCACGATTGTATGTGCAATTTTTAGGTGCACTCCCATTGACTTCTGTTAGACCGTGCATTTTCATGAAAGCGCATTACTTCATTTTGTATCTTTGATGCAGTTTCAGAAAGAGCATGTTCCAATAAAAGTCAATAAGAGAGCATGGAAACCATGCATAAACTTCGCATGCAGTCATGCTGCTCCCAAGCTGCAGTGCACCAGTGTGAAACTGGCCCTTTTGTGTTTTTCTGCCTCCTTGTAATGTCCTCTGTGAGCTCCCGAAACTCATGTTTGCCCCTTTACTTTGTTTCAAATGATCAGTGCTTGTTATTTGCGGTCATGGCCATTGATGATGCACACTACAAATCCCATCGTCCTCCTAGGAAGTGAGCAATAGATGGTGGTTATGTTTCCACTTACAGTGAGACTATAGAGAATGAACATCGGCACCTTCTATCATGAAACCAGAGAGACTGTTTTTTGCTTGTTTGTTTTTTTTATAATACATACATGGTTTTTTAAACCTGAATTTACATGACAAACCTTAAAACAAACATTTTTTTTATTAAAGCTTGCCAATTCTTACATGTGATAGCTGCATTAGTTTCCTTTTTTTGGGCTTGCTTTCCTTTATTTTCAATTGGTGATCCTGCCAGTAAGTCTGTTATTTTTAAACTGAACAAGCTCTGCTGCAAAAGTAGCAGTTACAGGGTTGAGACAAACCATTTAACACTAACAATGCTTACAATGATCAGCTTTTATTTCTTTATGCAAAATCTCTATACCAAAAGGAAGAAAAAAAGCACTGTAACTGTGAGCTGGAGTTTGGCTTTG